ATTGTGTCTTTTTTCTACACGCACACACACACACACACATATATATATATATATATATATATATATATATATTTATGGAGATGTGTATATACTGTATATAGAGTAGTATGTCATTTAATGTACAATCATAAGGCAATCAAATGACATTGCAATTAATTTAGAATCTCAAGCTGGTATGTAGGTTAATCGTGTCTGTTTCCGCTCAGGGTTGGTGTGATGTCAGAACTTCTGGAGCGCGAGCCGGAGATGGTTTCTGCCACCGTGGCAAAACGACTGTCCAGGCTTGAAGAGCAGGTGTGGTTCTGCCAGAAACACCCACAAATACAGATAGAATCAGTGTTTTACTGTTTGGTCTGTTCATGTTTTCAGGCAGCATGGCAAAGTAAATGTGAGTGTCAGATGGTGAATGTCTTGTCTTCTGGCAGGTCTCGGACTCCACCAAAGCTTTACGATGGATTATAGATGCACTGAAATCTCAGGGATGCAAATCCAAAATGCAGCCGCCACTAATGAGTGAGCAGAGTGCTTTTAAATCAGCTCTTATAAGATGTATGCATCCTTCTGGATCATGATATGTATGGGCGGTATGACCAAAAATGTATATCACGGTATTTTTCAAAATTATACCGGTTTCACGGTACATGACGGTATTTTTTTTCATGCAGTATGAAAAGCCGCTAAAAGGGTCTGAAAGTTGCTAAATCTAGTGCTAAAGTCTCGCTGGTGTGTGTGAGACGCGGGAGCTGATGGCAGCGGGCGCTGGATATTTGTGGAGGTCCGTGTGGATATTGTGTCTGAGTTCTTCTGTGGCATCACGTTCTATTAGTTCTACAGCTTCAGTTTCTGAACTTTCACGCTTACTAACACATACAGCTGTTCCCTCACCACAGTGCAGCAGTGAAAAGAGACCCCTTTCAAACAGTGCCGCGTTCCCAACGTTGTTTAAGCGTCATATTGCGGTATTTTAAAAATTCATATCATAACAAAATTAAACACCGGTATTCGGTATGAACCGGTATACCGCCCAGCACTAATATGTATGTTTAGCAGATCAAGCACACTCGTATTCATTTTTTAAAGTATTCGAGGAACAAATTATGTTTTTTTTAATGATAACTTACTGTTCAAAAGTTTTTGAAAAAAGTATTTTCTGTTCTTCAAGGCTGCATTTATTTGATAAAAAACACTGTAAAAATAGTTAAATGTTATTACAATTTAAAATAACTGTGAATACATGTTAAATGTAATTTATTTCTGTGATCAAAGCTGAATTTCCAGCATCATTACTCCAGTCTTCAGTGTCACATGATCTTCAGAAATCAAATCATTCTAATATTTGCTGATTTCTGATTATTATCAGTGTTGAAAACAGTTGTGCTGCTTCATATTTTTGTGGAAACAGTGATACATTTTATTTTTCAGGATTCTTTGATTAATAGAAGGTTCAAAAGAACAGCGTTTATTTGGAATGGAAATCTTTTGTAACATTATAAATGTCTTTGTTGTCACTTTTGATTGTTTTAATCCATCCTTGCTGAATGAAAATATGAATTTCTTTAAAAAAAAAAAAAAAAACCTTGACCTCTGACCTCAAAACCGAACTGTAGAGTATTTTAGATGGCCTATTATTTATCACTTATTTTTGCACCCTGTTTTGTGCCTAAATTCAAGGCAGTAGCTGTCTGCTGCTGTTGTGAATGAACTCTTCTGTCTGTGCAGCAGGTAAAAGCTCTGACAGAGATGATGGTGAATCCAGTGGACAGGAGACAGATGAAGAAACGGCTCCTCACACGTTTGCACGTCAGCTTCAGTATCCCAGCAGTACCGTCAAACGCTTCCCCGTGCCTGAGGAGAAGGTGCCCTGGGAGGTGCCTGATATCAATTATATAACATATTTTACCAAATGAAACAACATTATTTTGGATTGTTTATCTTATGTGACTCATGTGACTTATGTTTTGCGTTTTTAGGTAAACTTCACTCCATATCTTCCCCCAGTTTACAGTCAACAGGACAGCAGCGAGTGAGTTTCATTCTGACAAACAGAACGGCACAATTAATCAAACTGATATACAGGGATATAGTTGTGTGCTATTGTTATGCACTATTAAATATATTGTCTGCATACTTCAAAGTGAAGTCTAATGCGTTCAAGTCATGTCGGAAAGATCTTATTTACAAGTTGAACACATATCAATGCAGTGTCTGTATTAATGGTAAATTTGTTTAAAACAGGGTTATCATAGTTTACTAAATCTAAAACAATAAAAAACTGTTTCGTTATTTGAAATAGAATAAATGTTAACTGCAATAAAATATAATTGTAAAAAATTGAATAAATAAATTATACATTATGTAATTATATATAAAGGGAAACAAATTCAGCTAGATTCCAAAGCAACATTTCTGTTTTTGTTTAGTTTAACTTGACGGATTAAAATACCTAAAACTAAAATAAAAATTAAGGAAACCGATATAGGCTTATTTAAAAACAAAAAAAACAAAAAAAAATTACAATGATTTTTTCCCCCCCGCTAGATGCCAAGGCAACATTTCTATAAAAACAAATACTGAAATTAACTAAAGTTAAAATTAAAACTATTTTATTATTAATAATATTTTTATTAAACTTGACATGAAGCTAAAACTACAACTACATATAACAAAACTAATAAAAATGACAAAACACAACAAAATACTAAAACGTAAACTAAAATGAAAATGGGAAACATAAAAATTAAGACTAATTGAAAAATAAAAGCTCACACGTTTGCACGTCAGCTTCAGTATCCCAGCAGTACCGTCAAACGCTTCCCCGTGCCTGAGGAGAAGGTGCCCTGGGAGGTGCCTGATATCAATTATATAACATATTTTACCAAATGAAACAACATTATTTTGGATTGTTTATCTTATGTGACTCATGTGACTTATGTTTTGCATTTTTAGGTAAACTTCACTCCATATCTTCCCCCAGTTTACAGTCAACAGGACAGCAGCGAGTGAGTTTCATTCTGACAAATTGTTATGCACTATTAAATATATTGTCTGCATACTTCAAAGTGAAGTCTAATGCGTTCAAGTCATGTCGGAAAGATCTTATTTACAAGTTGAACACATATCAATGCAGTGTCTGTATTAATGGTAAATTTGTTTAAAACAGGGTTATCATAGTTTACTAAATCTAAAACAATAAAAAACTGTTTCGTTATTTGAAATAGAATAAATGTTAACTGCAATAAAATATAATTGTAAAAAATTGAATAAATAAATTATACATTATGTAATTATATATAAAGGGAAACAAATTCAGCTAGATTCCAAAGCAACATTTCTGTTTTTGTTTAGTTTAACTTGACGGATTAAAATACCTAAAACTAAAATAAAAATTAAGGAAACCGATATAGGCTTATTTAAAAACAAAAAAAACAAAAAAAAATTACAATGATTTTTTCCCCCCCGCTAGATGCCAAGGCAACATTTCTATAAAAACAAATACTGAAATTAACTAAAGTTAAAATTAAAACTATTTTATTATTAATAATATTATTATTAAACTTGACATGAAGCTAAAACTACAACTACATATAACAAAACTAATAAAAATGACAAAACACAACAAAATACTAAGACGTAAACTAAAATGAAAATGGGAAACATAAAAATTAAGACTAATTGAAAAATAAAAGTGAAAAATGAAAATTCTAGTAGCCGAAGACTTTTGCACAGTAGTGTAGATAGAATATGCATAGAATATACATAGAATAAATAGAATTGAGGTAGAATATATTATGATTCAGTTATTCATAAATTGAATAAAAACAGAAAAGCAAAAAAACATATTTATTCATCATTTTGTATGCAGAGTTTTTTTACACTTTATGTAGAGAATGTACATCGTCAAGTTTAATAGAAATGACGGAAACATACATTCACTGAATTGCAATTTTGAAGACTTATTCTAAATCTTAAAATGCATTTGTTTTGTAAATAAAAACACTGTTTTCTGTGTACAGCTCTGACGCTTCAGTCTTGGACAAGCACAGGTATGCAAAACATATGTGACCCTGGACCACAAAACCAGTCTTAAGTGCATTTTTCATGTATGTGTGTGCAAATTTGATGTATAGTTTGTTAGGATAGGACAATATTTGTCTGAGATACAACTATTTGAAAATCTGGACTCTGAGGGTGCAAAAAAAATCTAAATATTGAGAAAATCATCTTTAAAGTTGTCCAAATGAAGTTCTTAGCAATGCATATTACTAATCAAAACTGAAGTTTTGATATATTTACAGTAGGACATTTACAAAATATCTTCATGGAACATGATCTTTACTTAATATCCTAATGATTTTTGGCATAAAAGAAAAATCGATAATTGTGACCCATACAATGTATTTTTGGCTATTGCTACAAATATCCCCCAGCGACTTAACACTGCTTTTGTGCTGCAGGGTCACATATATATTCATCTCTGTCTTTATTCTCCTATCAGATTTTGCATTTAATTTGTTTGAGTGCTAAGTTTTATTCTCATGAATGGATTTGGCAGGAATCCAGGAGGAAGGACTGGGATTCGGGGAAAAGGGGCTCTGAAATCCCTCGGTCCGAATCACATTGTCCACCCAATCCTCACCAGGTGAAATAAAATCCCCTTCATGTCCTGATCTCCACTGGAATTAAACTCTAATCTCATATCAGATTGAAGTTTACAACCGAAATTAAGACTTTATTTAATGTTTTAGAAGTCTCTTCTGTTCTCCAAGGCTGCATTCATTTAATTAAAAATACAGTAAAAACAGTTACTGTATATTGTGAACTATTATTGCAATATTTTTATGTGAATATATTGTAAAATGTAATTTATTTCTGTGATGCGCAGCTGTATTTTCAGCATCATTACTCCAGTCTACAGTGTCACATGATCTTCAGAAATCAGTCTAATATGCTGATTTGCTGCTCAGTTATTATTATGGTTAAAAACAGTTTTTGCTGCTTAATATTTTTGTGGAAATCATACTTTTTAAATGAGTCTTTGATAAATAGAAAGAACAGCATTTATTTTAAATAAAAATTGATTGTAACATTATAAATGTATTTTAATCAGTTTAATGCATCTTTGCTAAATACCAGTATTAAGTACTTATCCCAAACTTTTGAATGGCAGTCACACTTTTCACTGAAATATTAAGCAAAAAAAAAAAAGTTTTCAACATTGACAATAATCAGAAATGTTTCTTAAGCAGCAAATCAGCATATTAGAATGATTTCTGAAGATCATGTGACACTGAAGACTGGAGTAATGATGCTGAAAATTCAGCTGCGCATCACAGCAATAAATTAAATTTTACTGTATATTAACACAGAAAGCAGTTATTTTAAATATTAATAATATTTCACAATCTTTTTACTGTATTTTTGACCAAATAAATGCAGCCTTGGTGAGCAGAAGAGACTTCTTTCAAAGACATGAAAAAAAAATCGTAATTATTTCAAACTTTTGACTATGGATGCACCGATAGGGTTTTTTTGGCCGATACCGATTTTAACAAACAACTATTGGCCGATACCGATATTGGTCAATTGCATAAAGCAGGGCTTAAAAACGCGAAAAGAAAAAAAGATTGGTTCACTCCGAGCAGAATCTGTATTTGAACGTTTCTGTTCCTGCGTTCCTCTGTGAAACCGGTTTGAGTAGAAAACATACCGGTTAATAACGTTATTTGTTTGACTTTTTTTTTTGCCAATAATAATAATAAAGTACAGCATTTCATTTACTCAAAAAGAAAAAAAATCATGAAGAGAGTCTTGAATGATCTCTCTCAGTCATAGCCAATACAGCATCATCTTTTCTAGATTTACCAAAGACCAAATGTATTAAACAAAAGAAAAAAACTGTCAACGCAATAAAAACATTAAAGAATTATTTTTCAAGATATTTAAAAATGTTTCAACATGGATAAAAAAACGCTACTCCTATAAGCGTTAATTTTAAGAGGAAAAAAGCAGCCTAAATTAGTAGGCTGTATGTTGCATTTTATTACTGTAGGCTAAAATAATGGTAAATAAAATCAAAATGACAAACACAATTAAGATATTTTAGTTCCCTTCTCTCCACAACAAAAGTTGTATTTAGACTAAATATAAGCGTCAAGCCAAAACAAATTAATTTAAATATGAAACTGAAGCCTACCTCTCTCGTTCGGCATGAATCCAAATGTTTCCATATTCGCGAAGTATCTGAATGCTAACCTATTATTTATTATGTGAACTATAGGCTTTGTTCTTCACTCGCATTATGGATGTAAAACATCATCCTTCACATATAGGCTATATCAGCAGTGAGGCACTGTTCACACTGAACGACTATTACTACGGACTATTTAAATTGAGCAGTGAAACATTTTATGTTTCTTTAACTTTATTTTATTTTGATAATGAACAGGCTGCGATGTCAAATTTGCAAATATTTGTTGTATGTGCGTGTGAGGCACCGACGCGATCACTACATTGTTTTCCCAACTGTTACTCCATCATTTATTTATGGTCATACCAACGCTGGTTTGTCATACAGATAGAAGCAAAACATCATTCAAGACTGTAAAGCTTTTGTAAAATAAAGAAAACTGATTTCTGCCGTCTCGTTTTTTTCCCGTGAACTTCGGAGCGCGTTACAATTATCAGAAACTCAGCACAATTTTTTTCTTTTGTTTTGTTAATCTGTTAATGATTTAAGTGAAATATATTTTGTGTATAGGCCTATATATTCCTTTTTATGTAGCCTATATAGTTTTATTCTGTTTTCTCCCTTCACAGAAACGCGTGATGTGACCTTGTGTGAATCCGTGTTCTACACTGGTTTCAAACAAAAAGCTGCATATTACCGGCCATTAATTTTCACTTAAATGTAGGCCTAAAACGTTGGATTTTGCAACAGACATGCAACTCGTTGTCTCCATGCAGTTAATTAATAAACCATCGGTATCTGCCCTTTTCGTGCTATTTCCGATATGCCGATGGCTTTAAAATAATAAAAAATCGGCCGATAAATATCGGTGGCCGATACGCTGAGGCATCCCTACTTTTGACTGTTAGTCATGAAAATCATCATAATTACTGTTATTTGTAACGAAGATTAACTAGTTATACTCAAACACAACACAAACTGGCTTTAGAGATATGCTAAGCATATATTGAGTCAATCCTAAATTTTTGTTCCTAAACTTTTTTTCTTGCAGTGCACAGCTAAACCTGATGAGCCTCTAGCACAGACACTGGAGAGGATTCTGGGTAAAAAGTTACATGACAAGACCAAGTCTAAACTAGAGACTGGAGAAGAGGTGAGAATGATAAATCCACAAAATCGTCACTGATTAAAAGACATTGTTACAGACATTAAGATCATATATTTGAACTGCATTACTTTTCATATATTAACTATGGTCTACTTAGCTAGTAAATTTAACTTTCATTTAGCAGATATTTCCTGTTGCATGGAAAAAATACAGCATGCAATAAATAAATAATTACAGAATTAAAATTTTTTTAATGAATTATACCTTGCATGCACTGTTTGATTACATTTTATTGCTTATATTTTTCTGTATTATTTGTTCAAACATATTCACCTGATGCAACTGCTGTATCAGAAATCGCAAAAATCCAATTAGTAACACATTTGGTTACACAGGATGTGTGTTTTCCCTCTGATGCAGGTGTATAAGGGTTATGTAGATGACAGCAGGAACACCGATAATGCCTGGATAGAGACCACCATCATCACACTTCACTGTGACAAACGCACTCCGCTCATGGCAGATATGAACCACATTGTGAGTAGGAAATATCACTTCCTCTCATATTGCAGCGATTTCTGTACAATTTAAATGTAGGATTATTGGCCAAAATGAATACAAAGTGTTTTTTGGTTTACAAATAAACTAAAAATGCTGCTCAAGTGCCAATGGCAAGTAAAATCCATGATAAGGTAAAAATCAGACCCTGATGCAAGTCAAACACATACAAACCATCTGCTATTTTGACTCATGCATCTGCTAACAACATGCGTTTCCTTCTCAACTGAGACTGACTCATCTCGCTTTTCATGTTGACCTGTGCTGTTTCCCACAGATATGCAAGGGAAACTATCCAAAGCATCTGTTTATGTGTAATATTTATATTCATAATTTTATAAAAAATAATGCAAAATCAATTGCATGATCTGTTCAGCGAGCGGCTGAGAGGAGCAGCGCTTTTAGTTAAAACAGATATTCTGTTGCTTCTCTGCAAGTATAGCCGAAATCACAGCACAGCTATTATCTTTATCTTATGTGTATTTGATTTCATCAGACGACGGCTTGATTATAAATCTGGATTTTTGTGCAGATTAACATCTTGGAAGGGAGAGCTGGTTATGTAGTCTAAATGGGTCGTGTTTCAGTCACTGTTTCATATTCATTCCATTGTCTGACAACCGAAACAGTGAAATATAACAATGAAAACAGTTTTATTGAGAATTTAGCTGCTTCAAAATACAGTGTGTGGGCACAGAGAGGCAAACAAATGTAATAATAAATAATAAATGTACAGCATGTTCAGAAGAAGTGAGCTGCCCTGTCATGCAAAAATGTAAACAGGCTTGTGTAAGTAAATTGCTCAGTACAAATAAAGATAAGTAATGGGAACCTAATATTTCTATGTTTTTTTTCATGTGTCTAATAGACATGAACAAGTTCTTGAAAAACATCTATGACCTTTGAAACATGTCTAGTCTTCATGCTCTATGTTGACTATGGTTTCACTAATAATAAACATATGTACATCTGCATAAAGCATCCATATTTGACCATGCCCATGTTGATTAGAGTATTAAAAACTTGAAAAGTATTCATTTAAGACGCATTTAGAACAGATAAAAATGCAATGAAAACAGTTTTATTGAGAATTTAGCTGCTTCAAAATACAGTGTGTGGGCACAGAGAGGCAAACAAATGTAATAATAAATAATAAATGTACAGCATGTTCAGAAGAAGTGAGCTGCCCTGTCATGCAAAAATATAAACAGGCTTGTGTAAGTAAATTGCTCAGTACAAATAAAGATAAGTAATGGGAACCTAATATTTCTGTTTTTTTTTCATGTGTCTAATAGACATGAACAAGTTCTTGAAAAACATCTATGACCTTTGAAACATGTCTAGTCTTCATGCTCTATGTTGACTATGGTTTCACTAATAATAAACACATGTACATCTGCATAAAGCATCAATATTTGACCATGCCCATGTTGATTAGAGTATTAAAAACTTGAAAAGTATTCATTTAAGACGCATTTAGAACAGATAAAAATGTGAGATTAAGTTGCGATTAATCACGAGTTAACTTATGGCAATCATGCGATTAATCGCGATAAATTTTTTATTATTTTTTTCCCGATTTACAGTTCTAGTATAAAGATATATATATATATATATTAAAATATAAAAAAATATATACGTCTAATAGACATGAACAAGTTCTTGAAAAACATCTATGACCTTTGAAACATGTCTAGTCTTCATGCTCTATGTTGACTATGGTTTCACTAATAATAAACACATGTACATCTGCATAAAGCATCCATATTTGACCATGCCCATGTTGATTAGAGTATTAAAAACTTGAAAAGTATTCATTTAAGACGCATTTAGAACAGATAAAAATGTGAGATTAAGTTGCGATTAATCACGAGTTAACTTATGGCAATCATGCGATTAATCACGATTAATTTTTTATTATTTTTTTCCCGATTTACAGTTCTAGTATAAAGATATATATATATATATATTAAAATATAAAAAAATATATACTTTTATCAAAATTATGCGAAATGTAATTGCATGGCTGGTAAGAAATATTTATGTCCATTAGTTGGTGTGATAAAGTCTATTTTGCACACTGTATATGCTATATATATTTATACATAAGGGGAAAGTAACAGATGCTATGAATTTGGATTTCAAAGTTGCAGTGCTCCACTTACAGTGCATCTAAATATATAATATTTGTATAATATCTATGCTTTGTGTGAGTTGTGGGATTTCCCAATTTTTTTAAATTCTTCATTTATATATATATATAATGTTTTATATTGGTAATTTTATAAAAACTATTTTTTTACCATTTTGCACACATGTATGCGCAATATTTTTTTATTTATTATTTAACATATATACGTGTGTATAAAATAAGTTTATCATAACAGATGCTTTGTATTATGGGATTTCCTGATGTAAAAATTTTAGTGCTCCACTTACGTTGTGCTGGGAGCTCATAACACTCTCTGAGGAGCTGATTCTGAACTGTCTACAAGATGCGGGTCCCAGTTGGATGCCGTCTCGATAGACATAAAACATCATAAGCACATTGAGTTTTATGGCTCTGTGCAGTCATATTCTCAGCGCTCCATAAGTGGTTTTTATTTAGTGAATTAAGTGGCAGTATTTCAGCTCTTATTGGGTTTACAGAGTAATTCAAGCTGTCTTTGTTTTTGCTGCAGGTCGAGAGCTCGCTGTCGTCTCATCAGCTGCTCCAGTGGTGGGAAGTGAGCAGCACCGCTTGTGTGTGTCCGTACCAACGAGAGGCTCTGCGTCAGATAGCACAGTGTCATAACACACACTTCTGACCCTCAGGAAAACACACAAACACACTCTGCACTCCTATGTGTCTTTAAAGGTGTGGCATTTCTGTGCCACAAACTGTGGAAGATTGTTTCTGCCACAGAATAAAAAACTAAAAAAGTTTTTTTCTAATGTCAGAATTGTAAGATATAAACTCAGAATTGTGAGAAAAAAATCTGATCATCATTTTTACTTAAAGCACGAAAAAAACATGAATGAACATCAGAACCTATTTTATTTCAACCGCGGAAAGACGTCAATACATTGAGTATTGAGTATCCACTGAAGGCAGGTCAGCCGCACCACACGGATACATTGTTTTCATTTAAATCAAAGCGTAAACAACGTAGAAAATGTATCCGCGTGACGCAGCTGACACAGAATAGCATACACTGTTTGCCTTCAGTGGATACTCTCCAAAATGGCAATAGGGTGGGGAGACGAACATTTTGGGCATTTAACCCATCCTAAGTGCACACACACAGCAGTGAACACACACACACACCCGGAGCAGTGGGCAGCCATTTATGCTGTGGTGCCCGGGGAGCAGTTGGGGGTTCGGTGCCTTGCTCAAGGGCACCTCAGTCGTGGTATTGAAGGTGGGAGAGAGCGCTGTACATTCACTCCCCCCACCTACAATCTCTGCTGGGACTCGAATCCGCAACCTTTGGGTTACGAGTCCGACTCTCTAACCATTAGGCCACGACTTCCCCAAATATTCTTGTAAATGTATAGAAATCTAGTTTGATATGCAAATGTATGTGGGATTGACATTTTTGGGTGAACTAACCCTTTTATCTACTCTCCTGTCTGATCTGTTTGTCGAACAATATGGTGGATTCAGCGTTATGATTGGTCAGATCGCATGTCAGTCAAGCTCCCTGCGAAGGTTCAATTCTGAGTTTCTATCTTGGAATTCTGACTTCTTTTTCTTGATATAACAATTCTGAGTAAATCTGTAGTGAGTTTACATATATCTCACCAGTGTTAATTTTGTTGACGAATAATTTTCATCATAATGTTCGTCAACGACATTTTTGTCACTGACGACAACGAGACGATAACGAACTAAAATAATTTTTGAATGACAAAAATTATGACGAAAATGTATTGACATTTTCGTCGACGAATAAAAGCGAGATGTTAGGGAGGGACGATTTGGGAAGAGATTCATTCAATTTCAGAAGGAATCTGCTGCGTGGTTCGGAGGTTAGATGCGTACATACGAACCGGCGGGACATAAGCTAAAATACACTTACTGCACGTCGCATAAAACGTTGAAAAATGTCAATATGTGGGAGTAAGAGAAGAGCAGACATATAGATAAATCTGACGACGCAAGAGAGAACTCAGTTCGGTCGGGTTTTCTGAGCGCAGACACTGAAGCATACACACACACAGAAAGCGCCTCTCACAGCGCGTGAGTACTCTTTCGCGTCGCATGAACGAAGAATTAAGAATTACACACAAAATGATGTCGAATTGTCAGTTTTGACAAGTATTCACGTAAACACAGTTGATTACGTCTTCACTGAATGTAAACAGCAGGGAGAACGTGTATCAGTACATTGCATCCATTGCAGCTGTGCATTCGGTTTTAAAGGGACAGCAGCCTAATTTAGTCATTGATGTTAATCAAGCAACAAAAGAAAGAAAATCATTCACTGCTCTTGACTGAAAAACTTTAGTAGCCCTAAAGATTAATCTAAATTTATTTACAGAAATAAATATGTCTGCTTGAAAGAATGAAGAATATGATAAACAAGTTGCTATAAAGAATGCATAATTAGCCTATATAACCATTGGCATTTCATTAAAAAGAAGACCATGTTCTTGTTCTTTATGAGACGTGGTTTTATTAATTTGAACATAACATTAACATTGACACATAGCATGTTGTGTGTCACTGCAGTTAAATCGGTGTCTATCATGATAAAACCTTAATATCAAACCTATATCATGAGTTTGGAAATTTTGGAGAAATGCTTAATAAACGCATTGCACTGTAACTAAACCCATTCGTTTTCAGCCGACTAAATTTACTGTCGATTTAGTCGACTAAAACTAAAAACAATTCAGGTGACTAAAATATGACTAAAACTAAATCAAAATTTGCTGTTAAAACTAACACTGTATCTCACAATTCTGACTTTGTTTCTTGATTTTGCCATGCTGAGTTATTTTCTCGCAATTCTAAAAAAAGTCAGAATTGCGAGATAAGTACCTCTTTAACATTTGCATCCTGTGGCAGAAATGGGCTTTCATAGCAAACGGCAGCAAACAAAATTGTGTTCAATCAAGTTTTTGGATCGCAATTTTGTTGTATGCTGTTAATGTTGCCAGATATGTCGCTCACTTTCATGCAGATTTCTGTACAATCCATAAGCCATACAGTTAGCTTCACACATATGGTGCTTTGAATATGTTTTATAATGTATTTATTAGTTATTTTGCACAGAAGTTTTGGTATCTGGGTCAATATGAATTAGAATGTGTTTGTTGTACATTTTAAATGTCAAATGCAGGTACCCAAAATCAAGTTTTTAGTTTGCATACATGTGCACAGACAAATATACTGTTCTTTATGCAAGAAATAAATGTAGAGGTAGCTAGTTGCAGGGTGAAGTAAGGACTTTTATTTTGCAATAATGACCAATTGGCTGTACTTTATCCCACATATTACAAGGCTATTTACCAAATAAATAAATGATGCACATTAAATATTTAAACTTTACACCATAAACTTCAGTTGAGCCTTATTTATTAATTTGTGAAACGAGCAAGTTATACAAGAGAAATGAACCAAAGGTGCATATTCTGTACATATTTCAACATGTAGCAATAATGCACATGCCTTTGATTCATGTACAGTGCTGACAGGGTTTAATGGCCAGATGGTAGATTAGGCAGCATTGCATTATGGGATGTCAGCAGGCAGATACATTTGACCATATTATTTCACATTGAACATTAACCTGCATTTTGCAAGCAATTATGCAATGCCTTTAATATCAAAGCAAATGCAGACGTGTGAACAATGATCTGTCCTCAGACAGGTTTAAGTTAGTGTGTCAGGTTTAAAATAAATATCTGCATTGTTAAAAAGTATTAAGACACGAATAAAGCTGAAAAAATACAACTGAATAAAAAAGTACTGAAAGCAAACTAGTTTATTTGATCAAAGATGAATAACATAATATGCATATTGGTGTATGCAGTGTAAAAATTGTGAGAAGTTAGTTTTAGTTCAATGGTTTGCTGTAACGAAACATTTAATTACATCTTCAAAAAAGGGATATAGGAACTTATTTGTCATTCATGAACAATTAAATATGTTGTCTAACCGTAACCTGTGAAGATTACAACTTGATAGCAGACATAAATCAATCACTTTTCTTAGCTTATGTTTTTCCACAATACATGTGCTGTATGTTCTTTATTATTATTTTATACATTTATTTTTAATTTTTTTATTATTATTTATTTCTCTCTCCCAAAACCCCACCCTTCAAAGCAAAAAACACGCCTTTCAGCTGTGAAAGAGCCACGCACTGCTTTCACTTCGAGTCGAAATCCTCTGAAATTATAAACAGAAAACACACACAGGTCCGAACATTAAGCCAATAAATCAACACGTATGCAATGCACTGTACAAAACAATACACACTAGCGGTGTTCGATTCGCTAACGAATCGTTCTTTTGAGTCGGATCTTTAAATGAATCGGTTGGTCTGAACGATTCTTTCATGAATGAGACTGAATCGGGTTCACGTGTCCGATTCGTAATGACTGATCCGAGGATTTTGGTGCTGGGGACGAACAGTAATACATTTTTTTGTTGTTGTTGCTAAAATCAAAAATCTCGCTGGTTAATGCCTTGATGTACATATGAAACAGTTCCCAGTTCTTATTTGGTTCCCCTCAAAAAGCAAACTAAATTAATTAAATAATAAACACACAAACAAATGGTTTGCTGGGTTGGTTTTAATAAACAGGATTTTTTATTAATATATAGCAATAATGCTATTATTATGCAGCACTCAAAAAATAAAAACCATGACTGTAATGATGTGAAACTCTGATAAACTGTATAAAATATTGGAACTTTGGAACGTAAGGATAACGTGATGACGTAAAAGAATCTTATTCCTTTTCAAATAAATAAATAATCCAATGGGAACGTTAGGGCAACGTTCTGTATTTGCTGGGCTGGTTTTAATCAACAGGATTGTATTATTAAATAATAGCAGTTACTTAAAACTGTTTTTGTTTATTTAAATGCAATATATATTTAGGTTGTAATTTTCTTCGTTCTTATGTGATGAATCATGGCTCTAATGAAGTGGAAAACTGATAAACCAGTGCTGCGTTCAGCCCCGACAAAAACGGTGCAAAGCGTGTTTTAAACGGAAACGGTGGTGCGTTGAACACTGTTCTGATGACGCAAGAGTTGCAGCTGCGGCAGCTGAGAAGGCCATTCTGTGTGTTCTTTCTGAAGAATTTCCGGGGCCTGATGAAATCGGTATAAATACATGTTTAATACTGCAAAATACGCTCGATGTTACAGTCACTGCCCTTGCCCTCCAGAATAAAAGAGAGCATCCCAATCAAATGAAGGGATTTGTGGAAACTGTGGTTCCTAATTATTGTGATCCAACATTTGCCTCGCATTTCAGGACGAAAAGACAAACATTTCAGGTGAAGGATAATCCACTTCTTACCTCCGAGACTGTGTTATGATCTATATGACCTTATTATTTTAATTGTGAGTATTAGGCTTATCATTATTGCTGATCGCTGTTGCTGTGCTATGATATTGTAATATTTACCATTATATAATCAGAGGAATATAGAAAAGTTTATGAAAGTGTCACTCCATAATGCAATAGCATTTTTAAGTTACATTAATCCATGTCTAGCACACCTTCCTAAGGAAAGGATATGGATCAGAAGACATTGCAATTACTAAATGATATTTAAACAGACTTAAAGAAGTTCCAAATCTATACTTGCGCGCTTATTATTTCAGTTATTTTGCCTTTAATGTAAATAAGCATGTGCAAACAATATACTTGCTCTTGTGAATTTATTTTGATGTTAATTACA